CAAACCTCATCGTCTGCACGGACAGTGCTACTTTAAGGCGGTGTTCCTAGGAGGATGATGAAGCGTGTAACTTCCTAAACAACCCCTGGTATCCATGTGGACCCGTATTAAAATATTTTACATTAATCCCGGTCGCCTACCAAGTACTTCGGGGGTGTTTCTTCCGAGACGTATGTCTCACCAAGTTACAGGATGGATAATAAGATTCGCGGGTGTCTTGCCGTGAAGTATCTCCACTGGGCTTCTGAATTCCTTGCCTGGCAGTGGCGATGACCCTTAGCAGAGCCCTGGACTTAGGCGTTCCAGCTGCTTTCGCCTTGCCCGGGGCTGATTAAAATTCCTGACGAACCTTTCTGCTTCCTCATTTGACTGAACATATAGGATGAAAACCGTTGGCCTGGCAGAATCTTGAAATTTCCTCGGAAGTAAATTGAACACCGTTATCCGACACATAGTGTTGGAAGCCATTCTACCGCGATTAGTTTCTCCAGTACTCTAATTGTAGCTTTGTATGTGGTGTTACTCATTTCGACCACTAAAGCCCCCTCGAACTGCCACTGCGATTACATCAGTCCACATTATCCAATAGCTTGAGTTACGCATCTGAATTTGTTTTGATAAAAAAAATTGTTCGAATGTGTCATATTACAGATTATGTAGAATGTCGCAGGCTATACTCAGCTTATGCTGCTACACGATTTTATTCGTTTTAATAATTATCCGAAAATATTTTAACGGATTAGAGAGAAGTGTATGAAATGCTGCGCGAAAACGCAAAGTTTTTGCAGAAAAACTCTTAGTACTTGGCCTTGGCAACGAATAATTGAATAAATTCAGTTTCTAAATCCAAAAAATCCTCTAACACGTGATGTAACCAGAATCCATGTTTTGTAGGTTCTTGATACAGAAAAATCGAATGACGGCAAAAACGTCTGTCTGACCGTCTGTGAACAACGCTAGGGGCTACACCGTTGAGCCGATTTTCTCCAAAATCGATATTCTCCAATCTATCTGGCTGATGTCGCGGCTCCTGGAATTTGAAACCTATATGTTAATTTTGGGGGTACTTTAAATGAAGCACGTGGGTCATTTTTCAAAGAAATGGCTCCATTACTTTTGATTATTTTTTGTTACATACTGTGGGCGTTTAAGAAAATGGTGGAGGTCTCATGTTCGTAAAAAAAACCGATTCTTGGAAAATTGCTGAAGTTAAAAATGGTTTTGGTGTCTTCTTGACTACAACTAAGATATTAAAAATAGATTTTTTTCTCTTAATGGAATTTGTTCCTTGAAGATTGATTTGGAAATAAGGTCATTAACAATTTTTCGAAAATTTGAGTATTTTCCGAGTAATTTTGCGTAAAATAAAGGCAATTTTAAACTCTGTTTAAACAATTTTTTCTCAAAATCGACTCCACAGTTCTTGATATTTTTTTGGTAGATAGTTTGAAGGACGTTTAAGATAATGATGTAGGTATCATGTTGGTTGAAAAACCTGATTTTTTTAAAATTAAAAAAATGCAAAATATTTTCGGCGTCTTTCTTTTTGAAACTTCAGAAATTTCGAAACATTTTCGAAAATTTGAATTTTTTTTGAAAATTTGAATACCTTTTTACGTGAAAATACAGGCAAAGAAGTGCGTGCTCTTTACCACATTTAGTTACTCGAAAGATTCGTGAGAAGTTAAAATTAATATTTACCGGAAAATTGTGGTGGGGGATTTCCTTCATCCCCCCGTGGATTCACTCCTGAAACAATCACTGCAGTGTGCAGCATTATCATAGAAATGTTGCACGTCGGCAACCTCCAGTTTCTCGGAAATTAAAGTTACGGATCACGAAACTCAGCGTCAGTGATACTTTTCACACCTTAAAGTGAAATTGATCTCAGTCGCTGACATTCACTTCCCGCCATTGAGATAAATGAAGCTGACGCGCCGGACTGTGAGAACTGACCGCGTCTTCGTAGCGTACTTCGAGGAGACTGTTTGCAGTATTAATTTAGGAAAAAATGTTAATTTTTTTTCAAATACTGCTTTCCATAAAAAGATATATAATAAAATGGAAGAAAATTGATAGAATAAAAACTATTTTGCGCAAACAGCAGAATATGTAATATATTACTAAATATGTAAAAATATGTAACGAAAAAATTGGATATTGTGTTAGGGCGGAGACGATTCGCCAAGATTACAATTTTGAGAACGGTTAATACAAAGACAAAAAAATGTATTTACATAAAAATCCGGTCTTTAATGATGAAGGATAAGAGCCTAAATTTATAGCTGATTGATTTTATTCCATTGGAGCGAATATTTTGCAATCCTTGCAAATAAACGCTCATTAGTTTTTATGGTAACCGTTTGTGGTGTGCCAGCTGAATATTCCGCCAGCCTGTCATTATTTACTCAGAAGTTCGCAGAGCAATTAAATTAAATTTTGCGTAATTAAATAGCAATTAAATAGTTCTAAATGGTGGCCTATGTGTTTTGTGGTAACTGATTGTTGTAGTGCCAGCTGAAGAGAGATCCTACCACCTCTCTGCGGGAAGTGGAAGGGGCGTGTATGAAAAGTATCGCCAGTTAATCGGCACATCTCATATTCAGCGGCAAGTCGCGGCCAATAGAAACTTTTAAGGCATTTTCGCTCAATGGTCAGTATGCTCATGTGTCAAGTCAACGCTATCTTCACTTACATACACTAACGTGTAGATGGTGTAGGTAAAAAAAAAAATTGTGAGCAGGCAGTTATTGGCCAAGAAGTCGAGATAAATGCATCTTATGATGACGGCCAGTTACACCTTAGCCGATTAGCTGGCGGCGTTTTTCGTACATAGTCCCACCGGAGTTCAGTCTCCTTCTTACGGTCTTCAAGTTGCTCACATTGCCCGCTATCTTGCCCCCCAAAAGACCCCAAGTCTTTCGCAACGCCGCAACTAGCCTAACAAATTCAAATTTGGCCTGGGTATTCGCACGAATTCTCTTACACCGTAAACGGATACCAAGGAAGGAAATCTAATTCACTGGTAGGGGCACCTAGAAAGAGGAACCAAAACCATATCGGAACCTTCTCTATTGCAAGAAGTAGAAATAATTTCTAACTAAATTCCTATGCCAATACCTCCTTCTGAGAAAATATGGGAATGTTGCCAGCTTGCAGCCCTCAGGTAGTTAAAATCGCTAAGCTACCAAAAGTACATTTTCTTCTCTAGTTCTGTCGAAGCTATGTATGCTATCAGCGGTAACAATACTTGGAACGAAATGATAATCTTAATTCATAAACTGTACCGTGGTAATTCTATAGAGTAAAAAGATTGCTCATAACTTGAAAACAATTTATTTCAGACCCTTAAAACAGTTTTTTTGTTACGTACGCCGTTTTTTTAAACCTTCTATTACTCTATTATTTATTTATTTATTTATTTATTTGTTTGTTTGTTTGTTTGTTTGTTTGTTTATTTATTTATTTTATCTGAGAAGTTTTTACACACTAGTAGTACATAGTAATATCATGAATGATCATTACGTTTACAAATAAAACTTCATTTCAGCAATATATTAAAACAATTATTTCCAATATAAATGTTTGAAGACGGACGTCTACAGATATGTCCAGACTTAATAGTTCGGAGGGCAGCACCGTAAAAGCTAAGCCCAAATATTACGTAGGTCACCAAATCAAATGCTTTTTTCTGCCACCAGTGCTATGAAGCCGTGTCTCAATTGTATTGCAAGAAATGGCATCAAATGTTCATTAAAATTTGCCAAACAAAAGATATTGAAAATAAGTTTCATAACAACTATTGTCATTAAAGTCGTTGGGGATAACAAATTATTAGTTTACGTAACAATGGCGCGAATCACCTCGCGCCCATGTTGCGTACGCTAGTTTTTAACACGCCATGAGCGAAACGCAATGTGACAAGTATAGGAATACAAATTAAATATCAAATAACTAGAAATTCCTTGCTTGTATAAAAGTAAATGGATTCCAGTCAGTGCCATAACACTATTGTTTGTAAATAATAAACAAAGATGTCATCAAAAGGAAAGACAATTGCGAATCATTACAAGTGTTTTGCACACGCTTCACTGTTTCGCACACCGTGAAAAAATAGCTGTTTTGTACACAGAAAACCAGTATGAGAAACCGCGTGTCGCGCATGGGGTATTAAAAATATTTTAAGTGCGTTATTTGAATATTGAAATTCAACCATCAAAATTTGAATTCAGTACAGAAAACTGCAAACGTTTTTTTAAAATAATAGAAAATACAATATTTATTTATATTTTTAAATAACCACCTATTTATTACAATTAATACATTGAACAATTAACAGTGAAATTATATTAAATTCTGGTTTACTTAGTTTTAAAATTTCCTCCTCTTCGTGATAATTGTGAACATTTTTGGGACTGTACACTCTGGATTTTTCCAAATAATTATTAAAGTTTATTGTAAGTAATATTTCTCTAGATGATAATAATTAATACAAATTTCTAAAATCAATATTTAAAAAGCCTAGTAATGAAAAAAATATGGAGTCACTTGTATGCTAATAGCACAGGGGCTCGAAATTCGTTGGCGCTTTTCACAACCGATGAAAGGGAACATGGAACCAAATACTTCATACATTTCATTTTTTTATGATGCAGTACTTTAGCATCATCACTAAGGTCATGGTAATATTTACTTCGAACCATTTTTTAAAAAGAAAAGTTATCGATTTGACGTATGTTGATAAAATTATGCTTTTTTAAATCAAATTTGTCGGTGAAATTCGCAGCCAGAACCTAATTGGACTGAAAGAAAGCAAAAGTCATTGTAAATAACAAGTGAGATAAGACACACGTACCTCATCAATGGCATAATACAACCGAAATTTAGTAATTCTCTAGGAATCGCTAACGCGATCAGCCGAGGATGATGCCACCCAACACTTTCCCGCCAAACGTTGTGACGTCATTCTGGCCATCTCTATTGCGCCGCTGGCGGAACCCGGTATGGTGGAATCTGTAATGGTTGCGAATGCGTTTGTAGAGAGCAGCACTATCGAAAAGTTGAACACTTCCGTGTACTTCGGTATACTTATGGAACATCTGAGAACTTTGGGCCTTTTGAGGCCTTGGTGAGGCTCTAGTGCTACACGTCCGGCGTTGGTGGTGTACCTATTTTAGGGTTAAGTTAATACATCTCTAGTAAAGGCTCAGCCAAACTTCTGAAATGGCCCCGGTGAGTTTATTGTGATTGCGAATTTATCAGCGTTTTTAGCTAAGATTTTTGTTTTAGAGGTTGCGTTTGCATTTTTTGTGTTCGCTGTGTACGTATACTTGTTAAAGTTTCATCTTTATTTTTCTGCCTACGTCTGAATGTTTTTGAATACGAATGTAATATTCTAACTTGGCACTTCGTAGACAAGCAGAGAAAAATACTTTTAAGGACAGATATCCATTGATGGCGTCGATATATCATGATTACAGTGTGTTGTGCGTATGGCTTAATGGGCAAGCCACATGTTGGATGTAAATTTGTCTGATTGCGTGGTACCACTCACTTTGAGAAGACTACAAAAATTACATGTTAAATAATGTAGGGTCATTTCATTTGGTACTGTTGTGATAAGTTGTTCCCTCTGATCGGGAATAACATATTTTGGTGGAAACAGTCCCGGACGTGTCATGAAGACATTTTATTAGTCGATTAAATTTGAATTTGTTATTAAATTTATGACAAACAAGCCTAAAATGGAGTAACGTACATTTATTCGGATTTTCACTTTTCTAGATGTTTAATTTACTATTTGTCAAATTTTGATGTAACCCCTAATTGGAGCAACAGTGTCCTGAGGACCCTTCATAATTTCTTTTGCTTAAGCATTTTGCCCCGGATTTTTATGGTATCAAAACTTTTGTGAATATTCACTTCAATATTTTTGCTGACTTATCATTTGGCATTGTTATACTTAGTGCACATGTGTGGTGCTGTGAAATTATATATTTGCAAGGAATGTTAAGGTTTACATGGCCCTAGGGGCTCCATTAGTGTAAGTATTTTGGCTTAGGTAACTTCGTTTAATATGCTTGTGCATGTACATATATTCGCAGGAAAACAATTGGCTGTGAAAAGCATCTAGACCAATATGTATTGACTACCAGAAAAGTCTGTAAACATTTTATTGATTGAACATGATCCTGTATTGAGATTATGGTATTTATGAATTTTTTCACCAGTCTGACTACAACTATATATCTATACACACGAAATCTACTAATGATACATATATACAGTGTGTCTATCAGACTATATTATTCTTGTTCGTTTTTTGTTATAGTCATTGCTGATCTCAATGTCCTTAGTTTTCAATTTGTTATATTAAGAAAAAGTGTTTTAATGTTCTTAAAGCTCATTAAGTTGCCTACTGACTTGTTTAAAAGCTTACGTTCCATGTCTAAATTTAAAAAATGTTTGGTACGAGTAACCCCAATGTCTCTCTAATATTCTCCCTGTGTTTCAATAAAATGAAGTATAAAAGGTAGTTTGTTTATTTATTGTAAATGTGTTACATTTAGGTCAGGATGTCCAGGACATGTGTCCTTTAAACATGCTTTAAACATGTTGCTCTATTTGAGAGTTAACTTGTATTCAGCTGTTAAGTCTATAGTCTATATTAAGAATCATTCATTAGGCATTTGTATTTCTGTAAATTATCAATGCTTTGCTTAATTTTATCTACTAACGTGCTAAATGGATGCAATTGCAAGTCCAAGATTACTGGCTGTAATATTTAGTAACATAGTTTCTGTCTTTCTGAATTAGGCTATAATTTTTATTTCAATGACCCTAAAGTAAAGGACTTTTTTGAGTCTTGTATTTGCAACTATTCTTACACTACTTGTAATTGTTGTAGATGTTACAATATCAATCCTGTTAGAGATAATCAAAGCATCTTGAAGATGCTTTGATAACCTTTTGAATGTAGTTTTAACATTTATTTTTCATGATTTCTATTACATTGTTCATAAAAATGTTCATCAGTTGCAGTTTCTGAGCAATAACCTTTTGGATCAATCTAGTCTCTTAAATACTACTTACCTTGTGCATTAAAAACTCAACTTTGTTTATAGAAAACACATTGATTTGCCTTTTGTCTAGTTGCTATTTCATCTGTTGGTTAGACCTCACCAGCGCTTAAATTTGAAGCAGTGATCAATTAAAATTTTTGCCAAAGCAAATAAGTGTTTTGTTGTTTTTTTTTAATAAAAAAACGGCAAAGTTCACCAGGATTCTGTAATTGTATAAGAGATCAATCATCTCCAGATGACTCCTACAGTATACTACACAGTGTGTATTGGTTCCTGTTTCTTGTATAATAGGCAATTTTCTTCACTAGGTGATTGTGAATGTGTGATCTTTGTTTTGGTGAAACTATTTTTATTGCATACTCTCGGGTGTTACAGGCTGAAAGTCGCATCATGGGACACTTGTGATCTGCAGGCTATGGGTTTGTATACTTTACAATAATACTAATTGTCTGTTTGCAGCAAGTGGTAGGGAAGAAAGCAAGTGGAGGCAAAAGCAAGCACATCATCCGAGGCAAGGGCCAGAAGAAGAAGAAGGTGGCTCTCCGTTTTACTGTAGATTGTACCCATCCTGTGGAAGACAATCTTATGGATGTGGCCAACTTCGTAAGTTTTTACTCTGTAATAACTAAAATATAGTAATAGTGTATGTCATAAATCACATGCTAGGAGTGCAGCACTTGCTTTCCTTTCAAGAGTAAATTTAGAAATGTGCTTTTCCCCGGTGTGGAAATCTTGATGTAGAATAATGTTACAGGGTTGAGAGAGAGAGAGAGATTAAAGCGTACTTTTGTGATGATCACAGATTTTTCTGAGCAACTCTTTTTATTTCTTAATGTAGACATTTATATTGCTGAAATTCCCTTTGAAGGTATTGAACAATTGGGTAGAACAAGTGTTAAGAAGCAAATTACATTCAGTTGGCTTCGTAATATTGCATATAAAAGGTCCAAAGTTTTTTTTCTTCTTTCTTTCCTTTTCTTCTTCAAAGTTAGAGTAAGTTTACAATGCACCATGATATGACTGGAAAAAATGAGAATTGATGAATGCAGTTTAATATTATATTGACATTTAATGTAGGTACATGCTACTTTTGAATTCTTAGATTGTTTTTAAAGTAAACCGTCTTTATAATGAAGGAGCCCTTCCAATACAGCAGTTTACTAAACCTTGCAGAGAACCTATACATTTTTGTGAAGTAGCTGGGCTGATGATTAGGGAATTGTTGTAAATGTTTTAATTTCTACTTATCCATTTGAGGTATTTTAATTAAAGACTTGCTGGGAGAAAAAAATTCATTACTATGTACATTGCTGATATAAGAAATTTGAGTACTTCCAGAAGCTTTTTGTTTGCTTTAGTGTATTGAACATCATCCAAAATTTTTAGAATTGTATGGGTAATGGGTACACTGTTTATGATAACTGAAGGTTATTTAATTTGCCTGAGTAAGTACTGAATTTTGTTAGATCAATGAACAATTATTGAAGAGAAATGTGACAGAAGAAAAATAAAGAAATGCTATTACATGGTTATGAGCAAATCAATTAGTTTAAATTGCTTATAGGCTGTTTTTGAAGATATTGGCATTAAAGATATTAATTTCAGAAAAGGTGATGGCAGAAATGTATTTAATTATCATTCCATATTTATTACTTGTTTAAAATATTGTTGGAGGAAATAGTTTGAGCTAAGTAAATATTTGGAAAGTACAACCAAGTGATCCAAATTATTGTCTGTCCAAAAAATAGAGTAATATTTATTAAATGTTAGTAGCAATGATTCGTTAATAAATACTTAAGGTCAGAAAGATACTGGTCTGGTACAGTGGGCAGTTTCTTCTGATTAGGAACATCAAGCTTTCCATTACTCTTAATAGAAGTGACTTGTGATGTAGGTTAGGAAACCATATTAAATATGTTTTCTTTTTAAATATGTGATTTAAACAGTTAGGAATTTAATTTAAGCTTGAAAAAATAATGGTAATAAGAGAGAAGTGAAAATGTGGCTGTAGCGTTTTATTCTGAGTACATTAATGTCCTGAACAGTATGTTCTTGTGTGGCACTGTTTATAATTGCATTCTAATTGATACCTTTAAAGACAATTAGATTGCTTGGACATACAAGGAGAATTTTTGTAACTTTTTTCTCTGAGGGAACCAAAGAGTAGGATTTTAAAGTTCATTGTGCTGTGTATCTCCAGTTAAAGGCATGAAACATGTGTTGCATGTAGTCTTAATTTGGTTTTCTTCACGTAAAACTAGTTTTCTATGCCTGTGTATTGTGTGCTTTATTATTTAAGATGAAGTTAAATTTTTTTGTACTTGCATTATTGCTTAACAAATATTTAATTTTTAGGAGAAATACCTGCAGGAAAGAATTAAGGTCAATGGCAAAACAAACAATTTAGGGAATGTAGTATCACTTGAGAAGAATAAGATGAAATTATCTGTTATCTCAGAATCTGCGTTTTCTAAAAGGTAAGTCTTTAATAATAAAGTGAATAAATAACTTAATCTATAGGATCTGGATTCTTTAGTTTTAACCTATTATGTTCCTCCATTTTGATATAATAGTTTTAATATAAATTTGGTTATTTGGTAAAGTTCATCGAACTTTTTCTCGTTATAATTGTGCATTGAGACGCAATGGGAAGTCTTTCACAGAAGAGATTTTGGGATTGCGCATGGTTTTTTTATTTCCATCAGTGACTATTAAAGAAAGTGTGTAATTTTTATTTACATGCTAATTTTCAAGGGAATATTTAGGAAGATGTCGTAATACTATATTTAGTATTACCTAAATTTATGTGCCCTTTTCTTGAGGTTTAAGTTCACAAACGATTGATAAAGACAGCTAATAAATTTGTTCTTTATTAGAAATATCATTGTCTGGTAATTACAAGTTTTGAAAAAGATAAAAATGTAAAACAGCGTAAAACGTATAAAAAGCTTAAAATGACATTTAAAACATCATAGAAATCCAGGTCCTACTTATCAATTCCAAAGGTATAATACCAGTGATTGCCATAACAGATTGTATAGAATAAATTCATTGCAGCCTGAAACGTGTTTTAATGAAGTTTCTGATGTCTTGTTATGCATATATATTTGAAATTAAACCTCCAATATTTTTAGGTATCTCAAGTACCTTACAAAGAAGTACCTGAAGAAGAACAGTCTCAGAGATTGGTTGAGAGTAGTTGCTAGTGGGAAAGATACATACGAGCTCCGATACTTCCAGGTATGTGATTTTTAATGTTTTGTAATAAGATTAGACAAATTGTCCATGAATTTAAAAGTAATAAAACATCATGCTCAAAATTGTGAATAGAAATTGGACATGGATGGGTGAGACAGAGACTTTGACTCTCAGAATCAGAAACCCACAAAATGTGGATTTTGACAGAACACTTTTTATATGCTTTTAATTCTTGTATTCAGCAATAGCTAGCATGGCTTATTATGCTGGTCAGTGTTTTAAATGTTTTAAATGAGATTTACTTTTTAGTCTTTAGGAATACAAGGGGTATTTTAAATGGCCATGTCATGAACTGCTGATAGTGTGCTTTAGTAAAGGATGTTGCTAGGTTTTTGTTGCACATTCCCAGTCACTTTTTGGTCAGTGATGGAGAAAACTGGATTCTGAGAAAGAAATTGCTGGTATTTTTGCTCAAAGTGGATTGGGGAGAGAGATTTTTTTGAACAGCAGCAGGTTTGTAAATATTAATGTATTCTGACAATGAAAATGATTCCAAATTCTAAAGTCAATCATGTAGATGAGGAAAATTATCAGAATAGTGATAGAGGCTGTAGTTGACTTTGCAAAAACTTGCAGGATGTCATGAATAGTAATTTTGTTCCCAATCCTGCATTGAATTACTTGCACAGGCCCAAAGGATTCTCCATCCCCTCATGCACCACCCATTCATTATGCACGGCTGTTTTTTTTACAGCTTTACATCTAAATATATTTGCTACTGAAACTAAGTGGTATGCCAAACAATATTTGGAAAATAATACAAATGTTGTTGCCTCAATGGCCAAGCAGCGGAAGTGTAACTGGAAATGACATAGGTTTTGTTGCTGTAATTTTGATGTGGGAATTTAAAATGAATTACTCATTAAGCACATTTAATTCATACTGTTCTAACATTGTGTATTTTCTGGCTCAATGTTTTCAGGGTTTCATTTGATTTTAACTTTTTTAAAATGACTGGGTATTCAGCTTTCCAAAAGCAGATAAATCAGATTGTGACCCACATTCAAAATATTGTAATTGTGACCCCAAACAATTGTATGTAGATGAAAGTCTAATGGTAACCAAGTCTCACTCAACTTCAAGATCTTTAAAACATCCCTATAAATTATAAATTTATGGATGTTGTGCGACTCTGCTATAAACTACCATTTATTATTCTGTTTATTTAGAAGGGCTAAAGATAAAATTGAAAGAGAAGCCATGAAAAGTTAGGATTTCAGGTTCTCAAACTTTTGGAAACGGGTAATTATTTATGCAAAGGATTCTGTGTATTTATGGGTACCTTATTACAATACCCTTAGCTCATTATTTACATACGTTTTTGACAGACAATAAGAAAAAACAGACAATTTATTTCTAAGCAATATTAGAACAATTTTCTATTGAAAAAAAAAAATTTAGTAGAGAACAAATATTGCCAACAGCAAGAGATAAGCTCCTGAAATGTTATTGTCTACAAATTCACTAACAGCATTAGACAACAATATTAATGAACAGCAAAAAGTAATAGAAAAAACCTGAAGTGATCATTTCCTACAGCAAATTTATAGGTGATGTAGATACTTCAGACAAGATGCTTTATTGCTATCATGATTGACTAAAGTACTGGAAGAAAGAAATGGTCTTTGTTTTTGGTTGAAGGATTCTAGTCTTACATTGCATGTTTTTTTGTTGAAGACACAATATGATTCTACCTTATATATTAGGCAGGCTGAGAGTACATTATATTTCTATTTTCATGCAGGAGGCACTCTCAGTGAAGGGTTAATGTACAGGTGAAAGAAAAATTTAATTTGATTGAATAATTATGTAGTGTTGTCTTATGGATGATATATTACTGAGCTGAAATAATGATGCAGTTTGTTGACAATAGTTAAAGAAATTATGATATACGAGTGTGCTGCATAATGTAAATGTATAGTTTTTTTTGTGTGTAGTTAATTAGTTACTTGAAACAATTCAATTCATGAAAAAGGAGTGTGTATATGGAAACCACAATAGTCACTTTATTCAGTCCAATTACGTATAATTGTGTAGATTTATTAAATTTACTATAAATGTATCTAATTTAAGTGCAGTATAATCGCATCATCCATGACAGCGTGCGTTAGACTTGTGTTCAAACATGTTGTTGCCTGTGTGTCTTTCCTTCACTCACAACTTGCCCAAATCTTATTGTTAGCATCACTAATTTCTACTTTAATTATTCATTAATTTTAATATACAAAACAAGTAAAAAACATACAAATTGTTTTTACTGTGCTATAATTTATTTTCACTTCTTTCGCATTTCCAAGGGAGGGGGTGTTGTTGCAAGCCTTCTGTAATAATTAGGAGTGAGGTTACATGCACATTATGTAAACTTAACGGAGGGGTAAGGAGATATAGAAAATACTCCAAATTTGCGTTACATAATATATGGATGGCCCCTAAATTAAAACTTGCTGTCCTCTGGTTGCCATAGATTAAAGTTTGAATGAACAAAGTTTGTTATAATAATGAAACTTGTTTTCTTAATAACTATTATGATGGGATGTTGCAAAGCTGATTTTTCTGTGATTTGATAACATGTTTTTCTTTCTTTACAGATCAATAGCCAGGAAGATGAGGAGGAAGAAGACAATGATTAAATTTCTAGGTATTTTTGTGTTGTACAACTTTGAATACCAATCTAAATAAATAAATTTGACACATGGTGTTGTTTGACTTTCAATATGAGTCTTTGGAGGAAGGATCAATGATGAGCAGGAAAAATTCATTTAGGAAATTATTTGCTTGTGACTTTGCTGTAAAGTAAGATTCCTTATTTTCATGCCATTTGTTTGTGTAAAGGATTGGATAATTACTGCAGAGCTGAATAACTAATTATTGAAACACATCGAAATGAAACTTTTATTGCACTGGTAACTACGGTGTATTTCACATGTTTATTTATTTTGTAAATTTCAGTTAGAGCAACTTTCAAAATCGGTAATCTTTTGTCAGTCTTTTGACAGACCACACCTCCAATTAGTTAAGATTACAAAGGTCGTACTGTTCTTGCAAGAAAGTGGCTCTCAAGAGTGCGGAAATGGCCCCAGCGAAATTATTTTAATTGTGGAAGTAGTACTGCTTTGAAACTTTTAACCAGTGTCATTGTCAAATAATGACAAGTTTTATTTGTTCTAATTTTTGTTAAAACACAGGTTTCAGGACGAAACCAAAGAATGATTCAAAATCTGACGTATGAACATTTTTTAAATTCAATTTAGCAGGAATTGTTTTCTGCTATAACATTTTTTAATTTTTCTTTGCTTTATTTCTGTGGTTCATTCACTAAAAATAAATTTCGATCATATTTGAAGCTGCCTTCAACTTTCAAGAAGTTTAATCATTGTAGTACATTTTGTCGTATAAAGTATGCTAATTGAAAACCAAAATTAGTGAATTTTTCATGGAAGAGAGAAATAGAAGTTTATTACAATGAAAACTTGCTGAATATCTTTTTGAAAATTACAAAATTAGTTTCAATTTACAAAAATACAAGAAAATTGCAAACTACTAGGTCATAATGCAATTAAGTACTGTATAGTATTAATTTAATGTGAAAAGTCGGTATCATTTTTTTGATGAAGAGGTTTGTCCCTGGAAGCCAAATTGCACCAGATCCTCCAAAACATGTTCGTTGAGGTGAAATGTTGCTCTACGTATTGTAGTGCTACATCAAGGGGAGGTGCATGATCTGAATGGTATACTCAGTCAGTCTACTTCACCTTTGCTTTCAACTTAAATGACAGTTTGAGTGACCCATTGAACTTTGTGATCATCAAACGTGTCATGACTCATCTTGAGCTCCGAAATGCATACACCTCACTGACCAGGAATGTTGTTTACAAGATCTTGCACACCAGTTTCCTTCTGCTTCTTGATCTGTGTTGTCGGTAAAATTGAGTCTTGTCTGAATTCTGGATCCGAATTTTTTATTTTAAGATTCTGAAAAACGTGTTGATCCATTGGCTCACACAAGTGGGTAATGTTTGTCCTCATATTTCTACAAATTAATTCGCAAATTATTTCTGAAGCACTGGGCTTAGTTAACCCTGAAAAGTTGCAAAATTATATTAGAGACAATTTGTGGGTTTCCTTGGCGTTGCTACATGCTAAAATTGTAAAATTTTCTATGTTGATTTTAAAAGTTAGTTTGTTTGTTCTTTTTCTACAGCCAGACTTGTGGACAGTTACAGCGGTCTGTTTTATCAGCATTGCATTTTGGGTATAAGAACAGTTTTCTGCTGCAATTACTTCAGCGAAAGTACAAGTGTAGTAAATTGCAACTCCGTCAACTGATAGCCACCTTCCAGTGATGGTTAGCTGATGTTAGCCAAAACCAGACTTTATACTTAAAAGATACCCTGTGCAGGCAACAAAAATCTCATCTCAGTTCATTAGTTTCACACCAAAACGTTTCAACTATCAAGCTTGTCTGGTGGAGTTCTGTAGCAGTTTAACAGTTTGATATAGAACAATTTTTATAAGAATGAGCCAAAGTGACAGTTCACTAAACAAGTGAATATCACATGTAATGCAGAGAAGCATTCCTCTGCCCTGGTAGCTGTTCAGACACACCCCATTCCCTTTACAACTCCTGTGAAGACATCAATATACAGAAATCTAAGAGCTGAGGTATATGCTCATACGCGAGTCCGGGAAATATTGAAAATAATTTACGTATGTGAAAATTGTTGGAATATGCTCTTATAGAAAACTGCCATAAATGTAAATAGAACTAGAATAGAAATAGAATGATTTTTCAGGTTACGTTAAATACCTTTTCTGTGTGTTTCAAAATGCCATTCATAGTGAATGGCATTTTTGGTAGTAAAGAGGATTGTTTATATATAATTATTACACCCTGACTATCAATATTTAGTACAATGCTCTCATAATTAATATCTGCCTTGGTAATAGTTTAATGTCACTAATGTTCTGCATGTTAATGCATTCCTTAAGTGTGAACAAGGAGTTTGCCCTTTGCACCCGCTCCGGCTTTTCATAGATCACAGCCATATCACAATTATATATAAAAAGCAAAGCTTGAAATGCTCTTGAACACAGCTCTCCACCTTACAACACAGGAGCCGGAAACAAGCACTGCTACCCGCACACGTCACATTCAAGACTGTTTTAAAATTAACATAATACTTATCACACAAAAACTAAATTCAATGTAATGTTTATAATAATAAAAAAATACAGAAGAGCACATAGCACTGCTCTTTCTAATTTCTCGTGGCACACTACATTTCGTCAGACGAGGACATCACCAATGAAAGCATCAGAGCCATTTAAGAGTTAGCCAACTGCAAACAAACTAATGGAGGAAGGAGAGACTAGGACCGCAGAACCTCCGGTTGTGTTGCCAGAACTAGCTGTGAAAACATCCCATTCTTATACACTTGACTTTTGCTCAAAACTGTTCTCTAAATGATTCTTCCATTGAATTCCCAACTTCACAACTAAAGTTTGTGTTTTAATATTCACATTGTATATTTCAGTTTAGATACACTAATTTAGTTTCCCTCACTAAACAAAGCATGCTCTTCAAACTGAGGGAAAGGGGAAATTGAGAGGGAGAAATTCCTCTTTTGCTGCTTTCCACAGTGTCCTTATTTATTGTTGCTTATATTTCAAATTGCTGCATTTGATAACTAGTATTTTTATTTAAAAGTAATAATTAAACATTTCTGCTCCATAAAATATGTTTACCTGAAAAGGGTCCAGCCCTAATTATTCCTAATCAGTGGGACTCTACTGTACATATGGAAGTGTAGATGCCGATTTGGATGAATGTTTGTACCAGATTCTATTTATATTTGGCTATGAAGTTCTTTATATGTGCTATTGAATAGAAAGGCATGTCTGAAAGCATTTCAGTTTCACGAAAACCAAAACTTCTCTCTAATGATGTTTGAAACTTTCTGTGCTCAGTGCCGTGTCTTCTGCAGTATGAAGTAGGTTGGACTCAAATTTGTCTCCTACTTTCTACGTATATGTACAAGTAAAACAAGTCTAGTTTGGTGCGTCATTTTCAAGCATTGGTTGATAAGCAGTTTGCATATCCAGAACCTTTTTTAGTTTTCTTATCTTATAGTTTTGTAATAAAAGTGTATTTGTTTATCCCATAGGCATATCAGGTAGAAATTTTCTTGGTGCATTTGTGGCCAAGTTTACTATTGTCCATGTGAGCAATGGGAATTTCAATCTGAAACATTTTGTAGGTTGAGAGGAGGCTGTATTAATAATGTGGGAGCGAAGGGCATCAGTAGCAAAGGAACAAGTGGCAGCTGCTCCTTACGGGCTCGAAGGCAGCGCTCTGCCGAAAAAATGGCATCCTCGGAAAAAGTTGCAGAAAGTATTAAACTTGCAATAAATACTAATTTAATTTGTACATACCACCACTGCAATTTTGAGGATGAATTTTGCTTTTTAGGCGAAAGATTTTTTGATGGCATCATTTAGTGGACTCGTGAGTTTGTCCGTAGCTGGTGCAGGGGAGGCAATGGAAGCTTGTGGAAGAGTGGGGGTACTGGGAATTAGATTAGGGCAATTTGCTGCCATTAGGGTTTTGTTTGTCAGTCTGTACCTATTAACTAAGCTAGGAATACTGATCCTTTCATCTGATCTCATAAATTTCTGTTTTGTTTGTCGGAAGCATGTTTTAAAAATCTTTTTGTATGTGCACATTTGTATAACCCATTATTAACAAGTTGTTATAGATTAGGGCTAAAATCCTGAAGCATGAAAATCAGTTGCTCGCTATATAGTATAGATTTCATCCTTGGAGAAATATTTACAAGAGGATAAATATAAGCGATTGTTCAGATATACATGCCACCCTTCTTAATTCTCAACCCACCAGCCGCTTCTAGAAAGGACTTAACTCTGTCTTGTTGGATTAGTGAATAGTAAGATATGTGGTCAAGTAAAAACTCACTATGTTCTGGGCGTTGTTTTGTAGGTCAAGGAATTATATGCAATGAGGTCTGCAATTGGTACATGTTCATGCAATTCAGTCTATGCCTCCTGACTATCCCAAGTTTCTCGATTTGTAATTTAAATAGAATTGAAGTGTCTTGATACATCTACCATAGGCCAAAAAACCTCAATAAGCTATGCAGCTTTCTCCTCTTCTACTGCCATAACTTTATATTGAAGAGTTCTGGCTCTGATTGGCTCTGACCCTGGCAAAGATTGTCTGGGTCAAAATAAGAACACCCCACTCATTGGTTTTCTCTTGACATGTTCTGATGAACTGTTTTTTGATTTTTTTTTTTCCTCTCTCTATTTGGAGGGTACCAATTTTTTCCAATGTTGCCTCCGTTGAAAGGAAGCTTGAAATATGTGCACATCTTCACATTAACTAACTTACGCCGAAAGAATTAATTGAAACTTCAGGATATTAGCTAAATACAGAAGTACAATCCTGAAGGTGATTTTATTTAAACATTTTACAAGAAATGTTTTTCATTGCTTAGTAGTCATCAGTGTTCTTTTTGCATAACTTCAGAAAAATGTTCAAAAGGTGGTACCTTGCTTCCTTCATAATTTTGATTCACGTTAAAATTATTAAATGTGTTCATGAATTAATACTTTTTTTATTTGAATCATGATGGAAGTTAAGTTTCAAAACAACTTACGACCATTGCTTTATGATTTTTGTTACGTGAAAGAATTAAATAAACCAGAATTATGGATAAACCTATTCCATTTATTTACCTCTATAAAAGTCAGGGGTTTCAATATGGTTCAGGGAGACCATGGTTTTTAATTTACCAAAAAATACATGTACCTGGGTTTCTTGCAAATTCACAATTCAACTAGTTTTAATAGGCAAATAATAAACAGCCTTTATTTTTTAATTGTACTTGGAAAAAAAACACATCATTAATATATTTCCATTATAAATTGTCCTCATTGTTTGTTAGAAAATATTTTGGAGAATGTGTTATCAGGTTATTGCCAAAAAGTCAAATTAAATGAAATTTGTCAATTTATAGTCTAAGCTACATAAGAGATGGAGTTCACAAATTTCATTGTTCTGCATTCCTAGAAGTACTTGACAATATAAATATACTGAAGTTCCTCTTTGACTCTTGAGGGATCTGATGGGAAAAAGTGTTAAATGCAGGAACTGAAACAGTATGTAACTTTTCTATTTATTCGGGGTTCTTACACTTCATTGCATCAAAAACAGTTCAAAAACGATGTGACATGCTATGATGAGAAGTAAATTTGAAGTTTCATCTATTTACACTTCATTACATACAGTTCAATTAAAGTTTGTAATAAATCTAAAATGGCCATTGCATTTATTGCTTCTGCAGTAGTACACACAGTAGCAAAGTGCTATAAATTCCAAATAGTGGAAAGCCTTGGAACAGTTTGATATGTGGTTATTAGATTTTTTCGAGTCCGAACACATGTCAGAATTGCCAGTACGAATTTCGCCAGAAAAGAACTATTTTAAGGTAAAAACTACTGGTAGTTTTTTTTAAATAATTTTAAACCATCGGTTTATGTAAATGTGCATGAATGAAATATAACAGCATTACCTTCATTTAATGTCTGAAATGTTTTTTTTCTTAAACCAAGCGGATCACTCTGAGACCACTGCGAAATTTGGTACGATAAATGAGAATCCTACTTTCTCTTTATAAAAAACCTCATTTTTCGTTCACGATCGGGTCTGAAATGAGGGTAAATTTATTTACATTTTGTTAGTTTTTCTCCCGTCGACGGCTTAGTCACGAGAACGCCATGAAAGTGGGTGTAAAGTGTACAATTAAACCCGTGTGAAAATGCCGCACTAAGTGAATTATTTTTAAAAGTGAATATTACTTCATAGGATCCTACTTCGAATGGCCGGCCGGCTTCGAATTGTGCTTTTCGGCATTAGACCTGGTACTGAGTAAAATGAAACATTCTAGTATTACTAAGCATTGATATTACACAGAAAATCAGCCCCCCTTCAATTTTATCGTGAAATAATATTCTCTACAATTTAATTCTTCATAAAGTTTTTGACTACCAATGCGGTGGAGCACCAAAAAGCAAAAACCAGCTCAATCTCCAAAATTGTTGTTTAAAAAAATATTTTAGGTCGCTTTTCGACTTCTTGATTAGCGACAACAAAAATTTAGTATCAAGATGAAACGTCTCATTTTGTAGAATGTTGCTTAAGAAACAATTCGATCCACACCTGTCTCCACGTGAACCCCATCTATCTTATCCCATCCCTCACTTCCCCACAAGTCTACCAATCCCCCCAGAACTCGTGTTCCCACATAACTCACCTTAGAAAACATCCATTTAGGTTCAAAGCTTGTGCGATCAGTGCCTAGTATGACGCTTTCTGAGCTATGTGCAGTTTTGTTGCAGTAATATTTTCTCATTGTAAACTTCATTTTTTGTTTTAAATCTGTTGGATGCAAGACTGGGGAGTGATTCCCTGACAAGATTGTGGGTTTTACGTCGATTGTTCTTTTTTTTATAAATTGTGAAAAACCGTCGTCATCCCTTGGCCTATGACGAATAAGTTATCTACCTCGGTATCTTACGCCATTATTGAACAAGCACAAGCATGTTGGGTCATGCTATGGTATGCTTCGCCCACGGTTACAAACCAGTCTGCCGTAAAGTCTCTAAAATCCTTTCACCGCTTGCGACATTTTATCCATATTAAATATGATCTTATTCACAAAAAATAGTTTATTTTATTAGCATAATAATTTGTAATAGAGTAAAAGGTACTTAGAGGCCTTTGTCAATATGAAATCAGATCTTTTGAAGTACCATTGGAACATATTGTTGGTTTATTGGTGTGATTCATCGGGTGACAACAGCATCGATTTTGATCGCGAACTGGTAAGACGCGAAAGATAGGATGTGTAAACAACGTAAAAAACGAAAAAAAATATACTAGGAATGTTAATGGTCATAAAAAACAAGGAATTATGCAGTATTTTTCTGTGTTAATTTTTATTATACATATTTAACATGAACGGCACAGGCAGCATTTTGAAAATAATTTGTTAGAATACATACCAAAATTTGAATACGCCCACTAGATGCACCGTTCAAGACATGTCGCAGGGTTCTTATTGTATTGTCTCCTGATACCACCCAAGATTTTGCATGTTTTATGACGGGTCATTTCATTTTGCTGAATATACGATTTCATTTTTTTCTTGTCTTAAGAGGCTACTAAGAATGTTACTGTTAAAATTTATATTAGTGTTCATGTATTCTGTTGAACCATTAGGTGAATGTCAGTGACTTTAACAATCTAGAAACTATAAAAGCAAAGAAAATTCAAATGATACCAGTCGGCGTGGGTTGGTCCACGTTCTGAGGGGGGGGGGGATGCAGCGAGGCTCTTACGTGTTCCTTTCTCTTCTTGTCCTTCATATGTATAATTGGAGGTATGTATGCTTGTATATCACCTTCAGTCTTTTATTACCGCTTTTTCCCCCCTCTGCGCCTCTATGCTAAATGCGTACTCCCGTGTCTGCCATGCATAGCGACTCGTGTCAGGGTATGAGTGTTCTCACGGTTGAATGGGCTTTTTCCCATTTTCTTTCTTGGTGCTACACTTCATCTACAACTCCTAATGAGCATGTTGTTTTGCGTTTATGGTGACATTGGCCGTGGCCCCCCCCCCCTTCCCTGGCTCCTGGCTTCGACCTCGGATCTCTTGTAGACAGGCTGTCGGGAGACAACTCCCGAATCCATGTGTCATCCCGCGAGTGCATGGCCGGGAAAAAGTCGTGACACTGGTATTCCAATAGAGTTGCCCGTGGTGGGTGGGTATCATGGGGATGAACAGCTCGTAACTGTGGAGTGTTCACCCTCACCGCTCCCCTCTTACTCAAAGAAGAGAGAACGAAAAGTGTGTTGACCTAGAGTTTTTTTTTGTTTTTCTTTTTTTTTTTTTTTTTTGTAAAGACGTAGAAAGCAAACAATATCACGCTTTTTCGTAATATTTTGGGTGGCCTTCATCGTAACAATGAAATCTGCAAGTGCTATAAAATTTGCAATGATGTAGAAAAAAATACAAAAGTTCCTAGATGTTATCCGTCAGCACGCTGGAATCCTTGGATCTAAGTGTCGTTCCGACGAACTGATCGTGAAACCTACGAAAGTCAAGGAAATTGCTGCCTTCAGGTTCAGGTGTAGACTCACCCTACATTAATCTTCTGTAAAGGTGTGGTAAATCTCAGTTTCTCCACGAAAATCGAGGAAAATTTAATTACCTTCCAGTTGGAAAGGGTTACCGGTGTCTACAGGATCCAACGAAAGGGGAATGCTCTTAACGTTTGACCGCTCCTCTCTTGCAGAGATCTCGCATAGGTTTTACAGTCTGCGCGTGCAACAGCATGTGCCGAATCCTCTGGGCTGTTTGAAGTTTCGGGTTTGGCCATTCGACCATAACGTACCCGTAATTTTTAGCCTAGATCGATCATCCATCTGGAGATGGGGTGGATGTCACCCACGAATCTCCCAAATGCTCATTTCTAAAAGAAATAGAATCCTGAAAATAAGTCTCCGAAAGTGTCCTTTTCTGAAGCGCGATGCCGCCACCAGGTGACAAATCCGGTGGCTCAGTCTAGGAGATTTGCCAGTTCCGAGGGAGTCAAAATCGACTTGTCAAACAAACGAAGAAAAGTCTACTTTCTTTGTGTCATGCTGTATAGAATCTTCAAGCCCTTTATTCAACCTCTCAGCAAACAAAATCCGAAGTTATCTATCGTTTGCGCACACAAACTTCATTAGTATACGCCTACGTGCATTGCCTTCCGCGACTAGTCTGAAAAAATACACCTTTAATGTGTTTCGTTTTCACTTAAAAAAAACTTTTTAAATTTAAAATAAGATATGCCCCCTTTGTTTCGAGCACATGAGTCCTAACATTCGCGTCTTAATTTTTACGTTTCATATTCATCACAATCAGGGCCACCATATGTCCTATTTGTAAGTAAGCAATATTATTCATTTTCACATCCGGGTGCTAATGTTGTGAACTGATTTACTGTATGAACTAAATTTCATGGAATTTCCCCTTGGACTTGTTGCTATATCTCAATATCACAGTGAATAATTAGCAAGTCAAGTAAGAGATACGAGTGTTCCGAGGAAGTGTCATAAATTCAGACATTTTTGCTGAAATCAGATATGCTTGTAGAAATCGTAGTAAGGTGACCTGGTTACTGAAAAAAAAAATACACTAATTTTTGTGGCTTTGAACACTTTCTCATCAATTGATATGGCGTTCTGCAGTCTACCTCCTTAGTGGTGACTGTTCTTGATGATTTGCATGGGAGTGACAGTTTCTCTACGCTGGCTCACTTCGATATTCCTGTTCTAAACGTTGCCCTCCCATCTCTCTGGCTAATCCCGGCTAATCCATCGAACTGATTGGGATACATTCAGGAGAGAAATACGAATATCTGCCAATTATTAAAAAAATAGCAATGCCACGGTGGCCCATTTCACGCGCGCCGATCTTCAATCAGCTTGCATTGCGATTCCGAAGTCGGCGGGCTGGCCATGACACCTTGCTGTGCCTGGTGGGAATGCCGACTGTCACTGCGGCGCGTGATTGAAAACGGGCGCTGGCTAGGGCCAATTGGTGGATTCGTAGGCTTCCGCGGCTGGAGTCAGAGAGAACGTTATATATAGGAATTGGAGTCTTAGTGCCCCAGTTTTAAAGAAGGAATAGTTACTAGAAATTCAGTAGGGTTTGAAGCACGCTCCTGAGACTTCGCTGTGGAAATTACATCAGCCGTTCGATGTTTCTCAGAGCAGCGCATATGTTGCAACGAAAAAATTGAAAATACGGTTTGGAGCTTCAGGTCCTTGCCACCTTGTTTTTAGTGATGAAGCTTGGTTTCATCTGGACGTAAACGTAAACAAACAGAACTGTCTGTTGTGGTGCACATCGGAACCACATGAAACTCCCCAAAAAACACTTTATTCTCGGAAGTCGGGGTTTGGTGTGCCATATCTTGAATAATACAATTTCTAAAAAAGAAACCTGTACCGTAATAAGAATTTTGAAAACTGTTAGAATCAGAAAACATAAATTAGGATTGGAGTGTCGCTTAAATTTTTCACTTCTTTCAATGAAGTGCTAGAACTAAAACTGTGGCGATTAATTAAAATGACTGTGGACTTTTTTTACTAATGGAAGGTAATGCATTATTTAGAGCTTTTTATTTCATTTTTTCAGAACATGATTATGAACAATGTATATGGAATGTTTGCACAACTAAACACAACAAAATGCACAAGCAAAATGCAGACAAAATGCGTTTTTTGCTTTATGCATCAGGGTCATGTGCCTTTGTGTTAAGCACAATAACTAAACAAATAGCTGGTAACAGCATAAAAAAGCTTCCAGATGTTTTCTGTCCTGGATGTACTAAATACGTTAATCATTGTTGTTTGCTTCATCATCTTCACTGCTGTCCTCGTTGTTTAGGAAGTGTGTTGACAGTTTTGCTATTGAAGCAGCAGCCTTGAAACGTGTCGTAGCTTTGAGTTTCTCTATTTTTTTCTTCCACTGAAAAAGATCAGGCTTGTTTTAAAAACATGCTATGTAATTCTATAAAATCAATAACTATTTTTGAAGACAATTTCATCAATATTGTAATTGATACAATGAATGTAACATTATTTCAAATAATCAATCTTTTCAAAAATTTCCATTTCATATTTTAAAACATCAGTTTCATAGTCGTAGAGAAAGTAAAGTCTACTCGCATAGAATGGCTATTATTCACTCGTAGAAATTACGACACTCACTGCTACGTCGCTCGTGTCGTAAATGTCAACTTGTGAATAATAACATTTTACGCTCGTTGAAGAATATACTATTCGACTCTCCGATACCATTATTTAAGATACGAACACAATCAGTCTAGAGAAATTCCACGAATTTCAGAGGAGGATAATTTTGAAAGTAAAATTTTATGAATATGGGCAGATTTTGATGACATAAAACATCGCAAAAAACGATGAATAAAATGCTCTTAAAATGTTTTTAAAATTACGCAAAATGGTAAAATGTGACTTAATAATCGAAATCGACGAAACATGCAAAAAATTCCATATAAAATTGGATCATTTGCTTTCATCATAACATAAAATGAATGTCTATACTAAGAGTCATAGTTAATATCAATGCCGTCAATAGCTTTTGCAAGACTTTTGCCATGTTCTGCAAGGCAATCCAGAAAATACGAAGGATGGCAACAAAATCGAAACTATAAAAAATTAGGCATTTTGTTACTGTTTTTCGTACAGAAACAAAATAACGCCATAAACTAAAGTTGAAGCACGCCGAAGAAATTCATTGATTGCACAAAATTGCATCTGGAACGAAACTTTACTAGCGCTAGGAATTTAGTTTCGTTTCGCTGAGAATTTAGTTTCGTTCCATGATTTAAATTCTCGTGTACTGTTGTCAACACTATTTAATCGACTGCGAATGTTCCGTAGCGTAGAATTGTTATTTGAGGCATAACTCTTGTTAATCTATCTCGATTTAAATTATTTTTCTTAATATATATATATTAGGGGCCAGAGCATTCATTACAATTCACTATTATATCCTTCTTTCTTTTTTTCTAAATTTGTTCCGTCTGTATATATATA